CCCCATGTCCCCTACTGGACCACCAGGTTACTCTCAGCTGACCCTTCATGAAAACTTTCTTTCTTTCTTTCTTTCTTTCTTTCTTTCTTTCTTTCTTTCTTTCTTTCTTTCTTTCTTTCTTATTTAAATTATTCCAAATATGAAAAATAATTTTACCTACCTAACATCCCCTCTCCAAACAAGAACTCATTCAATGTTACCTATACAAAGTATTACAACTAATTGCATATCATTTTTGGTAGAGTCACAAACTTGATAGATCAGTGTAGAGCAGTATTCCTTGATTTGATGTACAATTTGATGAAGTCACTCATGATAGTCCTGCTGGAAAGCTAATAAACTGTGGGCTAGACATTGCTTCTCTTAAGTGTGTTTTTTTACTTGCTGATGGAGCAAACCTAAGTGTACTCCACCAATGGTTCCTCACATCCTGAAGAGAAGTGACTAATGGGATGCCTCAAGATCTGTCCTAGGCCCAGTGCTATTCGATATCTTTATAAACGTCAGATGAGGGAATAGAGGGGGTATTTTTCAAACCTTCAGATGACACCAGACCAGGAGCATTTGCTGAAATCCCAGAGAACAAGATTAGAATTCAAAATTACCAAAACAGTTTGAAAAACTGAATCTATACTAACCTGAATAAATGTCAACAGGGAAAGATGTAAGGCTTTACATTTAGGCAGGGAAAAGAAATGCACAAACATAGAATGGCTTGAAAGCAACACATGTGAAAAAGATCTATAGTTCTTAGTAGACCACAAGCTAAACATGAGTCATCAGTGTAATGTAGTGGACAAAAAAACCAATGTAATTCTAGATCCTGTCAACAGGACCAGAATGTCCAGGTTGGTGATACATTACTCCTATCTCAAATTATCAGACCTCACCTCAAAGATAATATCCAGTATATTGACTATTGCAATTCAAGAAGAAGAGTGACCAGCTGGAATGTATCCAAGATAGCCAAAAGTCTAGAAACAAAGAGGAATTGTTGAGACTGCTAGGTATGTTTAACCTGGGGAGGAGATGACTGAAAAGTGATATGACACCATCTTGAATACCTGAAGGTATTTCATCTGGAAGAGGACATGAGTTTGTTTTCTGCTTTTCCAGAGACTAGAGCACAATTCAATGGAATAAAATAATAAGAAAAAAATGCCACCAAGGCATTAGGAAGAACTTTTTGATTGCAAGAGCTGTTCAAGATAGACTAGGCTTCCTTGGAAGGTGGCAGTCTGTATTTCCAAATTTTTAAGTGAAGGAAAAGTCTTCTCTCGAGAATGCTCTGCTTCTGTATTTCTGCATGACAGGGGGTGTGACTCAATGCCTCAAGAAAGAAACCACAAGACAATTGAGGCTCCTTCCAGCACTACAATTCTATGCAGTGCTGGAAGGAAAATAGGTTACCTCAATACATATATTATTTAAACTTTTACACGTATTTTCTCCTTTTTCCTGGCAGTTATATCTAAACAATGAGGAACTATTTTCCAATTATACAGGGGTCCTGTAACCAAACCCAGTGGAGATGAAGAGTCGACTATATGGGTTTCCATGACAGGGTGTAGTGAATGTATTCCTTGTGGGAACTATTCAAAATGCTGGATTGGATTATTTAAGTGAATTCACTTTCTAATACAACTGAAGCCATGGCCATCACCACTTATATAAGGAAGGTTTGGGCTCATATCTCCCCATTCCCTCAAGAATTACTGAGTATTTTGGACCAGCCACAGTATGTTAGTGCACTGCTTCTTAAACTGTGAGTCCTGACCTCAAATAGGGTCCCCTTAACTCAATGTTGGAGTCCCAAAAGTTGGCAATAAAAGGTTTCTGAATGCAACCTGTTCACACAAATTTTGTTAACTACAACATGCAGTGGATTCTGCAGAAAATGCTTCAGCTATACTCCACGGGCTGATTTTGTTAAAACCAACCTGTTTAGCAAGTCTTGCAAATGATGATTTGGTTAACAGTGAATGATTGATTTTATATGTATTTTATATCCTGGGAGGAGGGTGTCATGTAAGACTTTCTTGGGAAGAAAGGGATTGCAAAAAGATTTCACAGGCAAAAAGTTTAAAGAAAAGTTTAAGAAGCCATATCTTAGTGTAAACGACTTCATAGATTAATTTAGGAAATGACTGATTAAAATTAGTGCTTAGAGTCATACAGTCATAGAATCATACAGTTGGAATATATGGCCTTGGCCATCTAGTCCAAACCCCTGCCATGCAGGAAAAGCACATTTGAAGCCCCCCCCCCCGACAGGTAGCCATCTAGCCTCTGTTTAAAAGCCTCCAAGGAAGGAGCTTCCACCATACTCCAAGGCAGAGAGTTCCACTGCTGAACCGCTCTTGAAGTCAGGAAGTTCTTCCTAATGTTCAGGTGGAATCTCCTTTCCTGTAATTTGAATCCATTGCTCCAAGTACTTGTCTCCAGGGCAGAAGAAAACAAGTCTGCTCTCTCTTCCTTATGACATCTTTTCAGCTATCATTTCTCCTCTCAGTCTTCTCTTCTGCAGGCTAAACATACCCAGCCCTTTAAGATGCTCCTCATGGGGCATGGTCTCCAGCCTTTGATCATTTTAGTTGCCCTCCTCTAAACACCTTCCAGCTTGTCAATATATCTTTTCAATTGTGGTGCCCAGAACTGAACACAGTATTCCAGGTGAGGTCCAACCAAAGCAGAAAAGAGAGGCACCATGACTTCTCTCAATCTAGACACTATACTCTTTTTGATGCAGCCCAAAATCCACTGGCTTTTTAAGCTGCTGCATCACATTGTTGGCTCATGTTCAACTTGTTGTCCACAAAGACTTCCTGTTTGTAAATAAAAAACAAAACAACCCTGTCATCCTTATTCTTCAAGTAAAAGTGATCTTGAGAGACCGCCTCTCTCTTTCCTTTCCTCTCATTAAAGCAGATCAAAGAAGGTCATTCTAAACTTTAGGTTTCTTTCTGACACTATAGTTTCTCTGCTGTTGTGAGACTGGTTGTAAGATCCTTCTAGAGAACATCTTGGAATTTTACTTCCAAACAAAAAATGCTTTTGACAGGAAATTTATTTATTTATTTATTTACTTCATTTCTATACCGCTTTTCTCAGCCCTCGGGTGACTCAAAGCGGTTAACAATCGCAAAATTCAATGCTTAACGTCATAAAACAGTTAAAAAACAATTAAAATAATAACATAATAAATACTTAAACATCAATATAACATCTCATTAGCGTCTCAAGTAAAATCAAGATCCAATCTCATCATCCATTGTTCCGTATTCCTATGTTCATTACACTGCCTATTCAAATGCCTGCTCAAACAACCAAGTCTTCACTTTCCTCCGAAATGTCAATAGGGAAATAAATACTTTTTACTCATGTTCAGCTTGTAGTCTGCTGGGACTCCTAGTTGCTTTTCCTGTGGACTGTTTTCAAGCCAGGTGCCTCCCATCTTATCTCAGTGCCTTTCATTTTTATTGCCAACTAGCCATCCCCTGACACATGTTGCTGTGGTCCAGTCTGTGTATATGTGCTTTGTGTGTATATATTTTTGTGAATATGTGTGAGTGTGTGTGTGTGTGGTTTTGCAAATGTGTTGTAATGTATTTTTTGTTTTTTGTCTTTTTAAGTCTCTTCTGCTGTGTTTTCCAGTGTTTCTATGAGTGATAGTCACTCTTTCTCCTGATAGGTGTATTGTGTCCAAATTTGGTGTCAATTGGTCCAGTGGTTTTTGAGTTATGTTAATCCCACAAACAAACATTACATTTTAATTTATGACTAGCTGTCCCCTGCCATGCATTGCTGTGGCCCACATGGGGGTTCTGTGTGGGAGGTTTGGCCCAATTCTATCGTTGGTGGGGTTCAGAATGGTCTTTGATGGTAGGTGAACTATAGATCCCAGCAACTACAACTCCCAAATGTTAAGATTCTATTTCCCCCAAACTCCACCAGTGTTCACATTTGGGCATATTGAGTATTCTTGTAGAGTTTGGTCCAGATCCATCATTGTTTGAGTCCATAGTAATCTCTGGATGTAGGTAAACTGCAACTCCAAAACCAATGGACACTGCCCTCCAAATCTTTCCAGTATTTTCTGTTGGTCATGGGAGAACTGTGTGCCAAGTTTGATTCAATTCGATCGTTGGTGGGGTTCGGAATGCTCTTCGATTGTAGGTGAACTATAAATCCCAGCAACTACAACTCCCAAATGACAAAATCATTTTTTTTAGTGAAGGACATAAATTGGGTTGTTAGGTGTCTTGTGTCCAAATTTGGTGTCAATTCGTCCAGTGATTTTTGATTTCTGTTAATCCCACAAACSAATATTACATTTTTATTTATATACTAGCCATCCCCTGCCAGGCATTGCTGTGGCCCAGTCTGGTGATCTGGAAAATAAAGTAATGAGAAAGTGTTGGTTTCTAATATATGTAATGTCTTTATGCTTGTGGGTAAATCCCATCAACTACAACTCCCAAATGACAAAATCAAAAATTTTGAGTGAAGGACATACATTGGGTTGTTAGGTGTCTTGTGTCCAAATTTGGCGGCAATTCCTCCAGTGGTTTTTGAGTTCTGTTAATCCCACAAACGAACATTACATTTTTATTTATATAGATAGAAGAAGAGTGGTGTCCTGCATTTCTCCCAGTCGAAATCCATTTGGTTCCTTTTGGCCCAGCTCTCTAATCTGTTAACGGGATGCTGGTCTCTTTAAGAAGTCGGGAGACCTCATAACCATTGGGAGAAGCACTCTTCCTACTGTACTAATAGCTCAGCCACTAAAATGAGGCGTGCTTCAATTTTCATTTCCCAGACGGGAAGGACAGATGTTCTTTGATGACTACCTAATGTACCTGCGAAGTCCCTTCCACGAAGCTACCGGGGCTGGCCCAAGATCCTCGATTAGGCTCCATTAGACGGGGAAGGAGACGGGGAGGGGCCCTGGCTGGCGCTGCCAAGCTGCAGGTGGAGGGGCGGCGGCGGCGGCGGCGGCGGGCGAAGCGGAAGGGGCGGGAAGAGGACGCTGCGGCCGCCTTGCAGGCTCGGGCGGCACAGCAGCAAATGCGGAGGAGCCGCCGGGCGCCGTCCTGCCCTCCGCTTCCCCAGAGATGGCAGAGCCTCCCGCAGGTACAGCCTCCTCAGGGAGGGGGACGGACGGGCGGAGGGAGGGAAGGGGGAGAAGCAAAGAAACCGAGCCTCCCTTTCCAAGGGCACTGTATCTCTCTACTAACAGTCTTGCGGACCGGCGACTGCAGCAAGCTGACCTTTCCTCTGGGTAGAAGGAGGAAGAGACGCCGGAGGGTGGGTCCCGCCGCCAAAAAGCAGAGTCCCAGTCGAGTTCCCCCCAGACCCCTCTTTCCTCCCCACTTTAAAAAGATTACAGGCAGAAATGCAGCAGATGCAGCTCGCCCCTGCGACTGCAATGCCACTCAAAGTACCGAGCAAGGCCAAAAGTCGGGGAAAACAGCACAGGTTTTCTGTCACAGCCAGGCTTGTGGGAAGGGGCAGGAGGGTTCCCATTTGGTCTGTTGATATCCTTTGCCTTCCCTCTCCTCCCCACCAGGAACAGCAGGGAGCTTCCATAGCACTAAGACAGGTTAGTTTTAGACCAGACTTTAAGGAGCTCTCCCTGGTGCTGAACCTTGAAGGAAGCTCTCCCCAGTGCTGAGCTTCACAGGGAGCTCTCCCCGGTGCTGAGCTTTTACAGGGAGATCTCCCTGGTGCTGAACACAAAAGGGGTGCTCCTTGGTGCCAGACCTTTCAGGGAGCTCTCCCTGGTGCTTAACCACAAAAAGGGCTCTCCCTGGGGCTGGACCTTACAGGGAACTCCCCCCGCCCCGCTTTGAACCTTTTCCTGGTGCTGAACCTTGAAAAGAGCTCTCCCGGGGTTGCGAGGGGGTGTCAGAGGGGTCGCCAAAAACCATTAGAAAACACAGTGTTTTCTGTAGGTCATGGAGGTTCTGTGTGGGAAATTTGGCCCAATTCAATCATTGGTAGGGTTCAGAATGCTCTTTGATTGTAGGTGAACTGCAAATCCCAGCAACTACAACTTCCAAATGTCAAGGTCTGTTTTTCCCAAACTCCATCAGTGTTCACATTTGGGCATATTGAGAATTTGTGCCAAGTTTGGTCCAGATCTATCATTGTTTGAGTGCACAGTGCTCTCTGGATGTAGGTGAACTACAACTCCCAAACTCAAGGTCAATACCCACCAAACCCTTCCAGTATTTTCTGCTGGTCATGGAAGTTCTGTGTGCTAAGTTTGACTAAATTCCATTGTTGGTAGAGTTCAGAATGCTCTTTGATTGTAGATGAACTATAAGTTCCAGCAGCTACAACTCCCACAAGACAAAATCAATACCCTCTTCCAATTCCACCAGTATTCAAATTTGAGTGTATTGGGTATTTGTGCCAAATTTGGTCTAGTGAATCCTGCATATAAGATATTTACATTACTATTCATAACAGCACCAAAATGGCAGTCATGAAGTAGCAACTAAACTAATTTGATGGTTAGGAGTCACCATAACATGAGGAAGTGTATTAAGGGGTCATGGCATTCGGAAGGTTGAGAACCACTGTCTTATGTTGTATTTCAACAAAAAATCTCAAGAAAAACTATTTTTTTAAAAAGGAAGGAGCTTCCAACTCACTCCATGGTAGAGAGTTAAAGGAGGTCTCCACTGTGCTGAATCTTAAAGGGCGCTGTCCCTGGTGCTAAACCTTAAAGGGACCTCTCCCCTGGTTCTGAACCTTAAAGTGTGCTCTTCCTGGTGCTGAACCTCACAGAGAGCTCTCCCTGGTGCTGAACCTTAAAAGTGTTCTCTTTTTGGTGCTGAACCTTATAGGGGTTGTCCAGGTGATAATCCTTAGAATTATAGAATAATAATAATAATAATAATAATAATAATAATAAACTTTATTTGTACCCCACTACCATCTCTCCAAGGGACTCCATGCCCACAATACATCAATAAAACGAAGGCAGTAACAAAATAATCAATACAAAACAGTAAAATAAATCTCAAAACAAAAATAAACAATAAACAATAATAATGAACAATAACATACAAGCATTTGAAAAACCAATGGCCGGGCCAAATGTGAAGTGAAATAAAGTGAACTGAAGTGAAATGTAATAATTTAAAATTTAAAAAATAATGCTGGACATGAACAAGGTAGGGTATACTAGGATAGGGTTTTCAAAGAAAGATGAGGGCGCGTAGGCAATCGTAAATCAATGTTAAAGTGCATTTGAGGACATATTGCTAAGAGTTTTCCTTATTCTGGGAAGGCACACTGGAACAACCACGTTTTCAGGCTCCTCCTAAAGACTGCCAACATTGGGGCATGTCTGATGTCCTTGGGAAGTGAGTTCCAGAGTCAGGGGGCCATCACCGAAAAGGCCCTCTCCCTCATCCACACCAATTGTACCCACATGGGTCATTTAGCCCACTTCCTTGCCATGCAGGAAAAGTACCCCTGACAGCAGGCCATCTAGCCTCTGTTTAAAGGTCTCCAAGGAAGGAGCTTCCACCACACTCCATGATAGAGAGCTTAATGAGTTCTCCACTGTGCTGAACCTTAAAGGCCACTATCCATGGTGCTGAATCTTAAAGGGGCTATCCATGGTGCTGGACCTTAGAATTATAGAATAATACAGTTAAAAGAGACTACATGGGCCATCTAGTCCCATCCCCTCCCATGCAGGAAAAGCGCAATTAAAGTAGCCCTGACAGATGGCCATCCAGCCTCTGTTTAAAAGCTTCTAAGTGTGATTTGGATTTTAGGCCTGTTCTCAGATTACTTGGGGCACTGATTCAGAAAATGGCACTGGACCCCACTATCTCTAGTTTCTTAGATAAGTTTGAATTTGTAAAATTAAATTTCAAATTTTTAATTTTAATTTTTCAGTATAAAATAAGTACATTTTCTTCTTTTCACTTTTGATATGATCCCTTCATGCTTAAAAGATATTAATTTGTAAACTATATTCAAATATTCTGATTCTGATTTTTTTTATGGGTGAGCACAGTGAAAAGTGGCATGTGGCATATGTCCTGTAGCTCCGAAACTGGAGCTGACAGGGGAAGGTTGGTGCAGTTTTTGGAATCAGTAGGTCAACTATACCCTAAAACAGGTCTAATATTTGAGTTATCAAAATGTATGTTGGCCACATTCACAAAGTAGCATCTGCAAGGCTTGCTAAACAGGCTGGTGTTCTTTTTTGTGGAGTACAGCTGAAGCATTTTCTGCAGAGTCCACTGTAAACATTGCATGGTGTTGTTAACATATTTGTATAAATGAGTTACATTCAGAAACTTTTTACTGCTGTCAACATTTTTGTGACCCCCAACATTGTGCTAAGGAATTGGGACCCATAATTTAAGAAGCTGTGTTTTGGATGGCCCTTTAAAGGTCAGACTAAAACCCAGAGTGGATTCAGTACTCCACCAAAATGGAAGGTGCTTGCTACCATTTCCCATTGAAAGGGGTTGCTTACTTTGGGCTTAATAGGAGCTTGGATCCCACTATGGTTTGGTCCCAGCATCTTTCTACATGGTATGCTTTATCCAGCCATTAACTATATGGAGGACTTGACTTTCAGCACCTCTCTGGGCATGTATACAACACCTCGCTTTCATTAGTGAGTAACCAGAGACTGCTCATAGATGGGGTTGGCCAGAAGTGAAAATATTTTGGTCCAAACTGGCCTGACATTTTGTTGCTAGAAATTAAGTGGCCCCTTTAGAATAATCCTGAGCACTTGTGGGTGCGAAGTCTTCTGACATTTTGCAAGAATGATCTCGCCTGCAACACAGGCTGGTGAATAGGAGTTGCATCCTTGAAACTCTCTAGGATTGGGGAAGAGCCATTATGGTGTAGTGGTTTAAAGTTGATCCAAGGTTATAGAAAACAAGATCCAGATCCCTGCTGGGCAATTGAAGCTCACTGGGTGACCTTGGACAACTCACATACTCCCAGCCTCAGAGGAAAGCAAAGCAAACCCTCTCTGAATAGATCTCACAAAGACAACCCCATGGTAAGGTTGCCACAAGTCAGAACATGACTTGAAGGCAACCAAAGAGTATCAGAAACCAGTCAGAGAGGTTCAGTATTTCCCCACTGGGCATCTCATCAGCATTATTATGCCTTTTGCCTGTATTCTTCAGGAATTTTTTCCATTTTCACACATTAATGAGAAACACCTTTGTGTGTACTGACTTTTGTTGCAGCTGTTGTTGTTGTTGTTGTTGTTGTTGTGTGTGCGTGTGATATAGATAGATAGATAGATAGATAGATAGATAGAGATATATATCTCGATCGGTGGTCAGATGAATTTTTAAAGAGATGGTAATGTGAATTGGTTGAAGCAAAAAAACAAAAACAGAAACAGAAACAACAAAACAATAATGAATCTTGTGGTCCTAAATATATTGTTATAGCATGTCCTTTTACGGATTAGATCCTGCCTCAGACAGTTTTGTTATCCTCTATGTATGGCTATGGGAGCATGTTTAAAAATCTCCTTCTGGGCTGATAGATATATGAGGATGGCTCTGTCCTAACCTCTTATGCCTCCCACCAAACTCAGGACCTTGTCAGGCGCTAGTTAAGTGATGGATAATGCAAAATTGATCCAATGGTTATTTAGAGTTTTTGTAGAGAAAGAAAGCAAGAAGCACAGAGAATTGTTTGATTCAATTGTATTTTTCTGTTATTTCGCTGAAAAATATTAAAGTTTAAAGTAGGAAAAGGTGATTCACAGAACTAGTTAACTCCTAAACAACTACAGATTGCAATCTGATAGTATTGTATTGCAGCAAATCAACACTACAAGCAGCCAAAACATTCAATTGAAAAATAGTTGCCTCCAGATGAGAATAATGCCACTGCTTGATTTGACAACCTTCTTGTTACTGACAAGCAATGACCCCACTTCTTGTTCCTTTAACAAAAAACACAACCTTTTGACAGAGATAGGAAGAACCCTTCTGAACATCCAGAGATAGCACAGTAAATCTTGTAACGCAAAGAGTATCTTCTATTACCTCCTCAGTGCAAACACAGATTGAAAGGAACACGGAGATAATGTCAATCAGGAGGAGATGGGTGCAGCTCTTGGC